CGGTGTCTCCTGAGCCTGGGGCTCTGGGACAGCCACATCCCCTGGTGCTGGTGGGTCGGCTGGAGCAGAAAGCCCCCCAACATCCCACGGGATGGTATCGGGAGCAGGCTGCCCTGCAATGGGCAACATGCTGGGAAGTTCTTCTGGGGCAGCCGGGCTGGCAGCACAGGGGACTCCCTCACCTAACACCACGGTACTGCACCGTGCTGCCGGCCAGTCCTCCCAGCCGCAGGCAAACAGCAAGTCCAGATCTCCCGGCTGCAGGATGGCTGCCGCTGCCTCCCCGTGCGTGACGGCCACCTCCACGGGGGACCCCTCAGTGTGGGCAGTCCCTTCCAGAGCCAGGCCCTGGCCGAGGGGAACCGTTTCCCATGGGAGGTCCTCAACAGGCACCCGCGACATCACTGGCGCCTCGGAGCCCAGCTCTGATGCAGAGCCAGTGTGGAAAGGAGGCAGAGAGCCACGGTGAGCATCCCCGCATTCTGACAGATGAGTCTGGCCCTCGGCTCCATCGCTCTCTGATCCTAAATCTGTGGCCTCCTCCTCAGAAACCAGTTCTGGGACATCCCAGTTAGACAGCTCAGTCCTTCCAGGCAGAAGGTGATGGTTCCTGGGTAGGTCTGTCCCCTCGACACTGGCTTCGCTGTGCTGTGGGGAGGACTGTGGCTCCTCTGCCGCTGTGTCGGGAGCTGGGGGCTGGCAGGGAGATGCTCGGCTGGGACAGATCTCCTTGGGAAGCTGCACTACTTCACCACCAGGAACTAGCGAGTCTCGGTTATCTTCACCCCACCCCACCAGAGCGCTGGGGTAACCAGCTCCCTCCAAGCCAGAGGCTGGATGTGTGCCCATCTCAGGAGATGACATACCACCAGCCACCAGCACCGCCACCACGCAATCGTCCACGAGCTCTGGGTCCACCAGTGGGTCAGGTGCATCATCCTCCTCCACTGGTGCTGGAGAGCACTGCCGGAGGGAGCCCGGTCCCACCACGGCCACGGGGCTGGGTGAGGCCCCTCCGTCTGAGTCCGTCGGGGTGACGGCCGAGGTGTCCCTTTCCGAGAAAGGCTCTGTCGCTGGCTCCAGCATGCTCAGCACCTGCGAGCTGCAGGTGACATCAAAGTCCTCCAGATCTGACACCACGGCAGAGTCTGAAGCGCTGATGTCCAAAGGGGCTGTAGGCTGACACGCTTCGACCACCGCCCCGGCCAGTTTGGCTGAATCTGGGTCCAGCCCCTCCGAGTCCATCAGGGAGACCTGAACCTCCACGTGGGCAAGGACAACCCCATCGCCCTCGTCCTCGTTCAGGCACTGCTCTTCCAGCTCCAGGAACATCTGCACCGAGTCCGTGTCGGACAACTCGGGGCCCGTGGGGCTGGCTGAGCGCTCCGAACCTGGAGCGAAGTCCTCGACCTCGCACTGCACCGCCACGTCCTCGGTACAGCACGTGGTGCCGGTGAGGGGGCTGCCGGCACCCCCCGGGGACGTGCAGGACCGGGAGGTCTCCGGGCTGGGGGCAGAGCTGTCTGCCGGAGCAGAAAATTGTTCCCTTTCTTCAGAAATATCTGCCAAGCAACAGCTCTTTTTCTCCTCTGCCACCAAAACAGCCTTTCCTCTCTCTGACAGTGTCGCCTCCTCCCACTCCTCCATCATCACCCAGCGCTCATCCTCCTCAAATCTCAGTTCAGACTCCGTTTTCTCCCTGAGATTGGAGGTGATGAGAATATCCAGTCCCGCATCCAGCAGCTCTTCGCTAAGGCACGGAGAGAGGTTGACGTTCTCCACCGTACAGTCCGATTCGGAGGCCTCCAGGGTCTCCTGGTGCCCATCGCTGAGGCTTCCCTTGATGAAATTCTTCCTGGCTCGTGGCCAGGTGGCACTGGGGAGCCGGTGAGCCCTGGCCAGGTCCCCGACGCGACCACCGCCGTCGCTCAGCAGGGGCTGGCGCTCATCCCGGGGACCACCATAGCTGTCTGCGCCGAACTGCTTGGCCAATAGAGCCTCTGCCACACCAGATGACTTGGAGACGTGCTCCAAGGTGAGAGACTCGGACATGGGCTCACCATGGTCGGGCTGGCCTGGGCGCTCGGCGAGCATGGCACTTGACTCCCGCTTATCCCGCAGGGAAGGGTTGGAGGCGCCCGCTTCCGACACCTCGCTCAGTGAAGCCCCCATTCTTTCCGCAAATTCAGTGAAGTTTGGCGGCATGAAGGATTTCCACGACCGCCGGTTGACGTTCTCCTTCCTCTCGGGGTTCGGTCGTCTCCTTGGCGGAGCCGGTGCTGGTTTGGAGACATCGCTGCTGAGCTTCAGCGCATCGAAGATGACTCGCTCGTCCAACTTCTTCGTTTCTGGCGCCCTGGACTCAAAGACGTTGGCAGCTCCCAGCGTCCCGTTGCTGGATATGGTGCTGCCATCCCCCTTGCCGAGGGTGCTCTTAGAAAGCTGGTTGAGCTTCGATCCCTGATCGATTTGCTCGTTAATTCTCATTGTGTCGTATATCGACCTCTGGGGCACATAGCAATCCTCTATATAACCATCCTCCTCCTCACCCTTCCCCAGACAAGTGCGGTTCTGCCGTAAACAGTCTGGCCGGCTCAGTGGTTTGCCCATGCTCTCGTCCTTACGGGTGACAAAACCGCCCCGGCAACCTT